GATTACTTGATAGACGTGTTTTATTAATAGATGTCGAACTTGTTTCACGTACAGTGATCATTTTCGTGACATGTTGTCAAAATTCTTCGGCATGTGAATTGAACGTTGCTTCTTAGGGCAAAACGACAGAGCTTCGCGATGCGTATATGCACGTAACGAATGTTGGCTTCACATTCTGTGTGCGCGCGTATTTAATTTTCAGAGAGACCGACATTGAAGACTCAATGATTCTCTAATCGACGATAATCAACTCTCCGGAAGGTTGCCGTCCGCACGTCCGTATTGCACATTGCGCGTTGCCGATGTCCACGACGAGTTGCAACGATGCGCTTTATTTACGCGCTTCTACTCCGCGGCCTTTCTCTCGCTGGAAAGGCGTCCGCTCTCGTTTATCTGCAATTGGTTTATCGATTCTCTCTCTCTCTCTCTCTCTCTCTCTCTCTCTCTCTCTTTCAAGCTCTCCCTCTCCTCCCTTTCTCTTCTTTACTGCTCTCTTTCTGTAATTCTTTTTTCTGGATAGTGTTGGATTCCTAGATACATTATTCTGCTCGCCACATGCGTAGACGTTGCAATCTTGGAACTAGTGAACTTTGAATAAAAATCTTTTGTCAAGTATTTTTACGAATTAGCCTAAAATTCTGCTTTTAGATTTAACAACTCTTTTTAAACAAATTTGGAGTCGATATTTTCTTCCGTAGATAAAATTATACAGAGTGTTCATTTTAAAACTTTCCACTTCAATATTTTTAAAACTATACATTTTATGAAAAAATGTTTAATATAAAAGTTGTAGAACTTTGAAGAAGTCATAAAAGGCTACTATTTGTCTGACTTTGGATGTTAAGGTCACAATCAACTTGAATTTTTTAAATGAAACCTTTTTTTTTGTTGCATATTCTGTAGCTTATTTCAAGAGGTTTCCAAAACACTATAATAACATATTTTTTCATTAAATACTTTTTGAGTAATGACACTTGAAAGTTACAGTACCGCTGGCATTAGCATTACCCAAGGTGTACCACGCGAAGGTTACTCGATCGGATTTATCTCTTTCGTGTGTATACGGTACTGTAACTTTCAAGTGTTATTATTTAAAAAGTACTTAATGAAAAAATAGGTTATTATAGTGTTTTGGAAAGCTCTTGAGATAAGCTAAAATATGCAACAAAAAGTAGGTTTCATTAAAAAAATTCAAGTTGACTTTGACGTGATTTTAACGGTTCCATCTAAGATCAGACAAATAGTAGCCTTTTATGGCCCCCTCAAAACTCTACAAGTTTTATATTAAATATTTTTTTTGTAGAATATTTTTAAAAATATTGAGATGGAAAGTTTTAAAATGAGTACTTTATATGTGTGTGTGTGTGTGTGTGTGTGTGTGTGTGTGTGTGTGTGTGTGCGTGCGTGCGTGCGTGTGTGTGTGTGTGTGTGTGTGTGTGTGTGTATATATGTATGCTATAATATAATATAGCATGTAATCTGTAAAAACAATGAGCGTCGTAACATTTTGATTGAGAGAATACTACTAAAAATTGGTCGAAAAATTTGTCATCAAAATTAAGAGCAATCTAATCATGTTTTCCACAAATAATAGATATATGTTAAAAGTATAACTGCTCGAGGAAAGCATAAAAAAAATAGAAATAATAAAATAAATATATAAGATTAATTTTGGTCAAATTGGAACAATTAAAGACCTTACTCAATGTCGTCAGGGGCGCGGAGTTATTTCCACACGAGTACATGATGCATAACATATTTGCTATGTGTGTGCATAGCTATATATGTTGAAATAATATGTTAGCGGTAATTACAACAGACACATTATATGATACGTGCAGCTTGAAGAAATTTTGCGATCGTTCAATAGTATCCTGTGCATAAAACTTGCATCAAATACATTGAGGGATTGCTTGTGCATTCGATAAATCATTGTCAAATTGTGCCTGTATATAAATTCAAGTTGCTAATATTAGCAATATTGTTGCAAGAAAAATGTTTTTGGAGTAATATAACTTTTCTCCTTTGTAGTTTAGCTTTTTGCCATGTAAATGGTGCTGTGTACATGTACTGTTTGAAAAGTGCATGTCTTCCACATTAATGTGTGTGCATTGCTTCACTTATAACGTTATACATGGTTTTGTTCACTTTTAATTTGAGAAAATAAGAAAATTCACATGATTTATTTATACGAGTTCAAACTCAGTCATAGTGCGATCGAGTTAACGCGAAATATTAATATAGCATTTTGTAATGATATTGTGAGCAATCGGAGCACAAGGCGTTGATTTGGGAAGTTAAAGTCTGGTGAAACAGACCTTGAAAATTTTGAAAGCCACGTTGGAAGGAGATTCGGCAGTTAGAGGAATTTTCGAGACAATTAAAATTTATTATTCAACAGTTTCCCGACATTTAAAAGCCTTGAGGAAAGGAAAAAACCTGAACAAATAGGAACCATATGAACTCACTGATATATATATATATATATATATATATATATATATATATATATATATATAA